GGTGGAGTCCTGCTCGAAAATCTGGCGGCCTGACAGCGAAGCCGAGGCGGTCATCCAAACGGGCGAGAGAGCAGAGAGCAAAGGGGGGGGGGGGGGGGGGGGGGGAGAAAGCGGCCCCGACATCGGCCGGGGACATGGTGCGCGGACGCGCTGGCACACATACCGGTGAGCTTCTTCTTGGCGGAATTCTGGGCATTGGCCTGCTGCTCAAGGAGGGCCATCTCGGCGTCGAACTTCCGCTTCCACTCGAAGAAGGTGAGCGCCGTCACGCGAGACCCGGCAAAGCGGTTGCGCTCGGCCTGGGATGCCGATCACCAGTCAGTCAGTCAGTCAGTCAGTCAGACGGTCGAAACCATGGGATCCGCGTCAAAGCGGCCAGTGTGCCGTGATACTGCCCAGGGCACTGGCACCCGTCCCCTCCGTGGCCAATGGCGGCCGGCCGGCCGGCCAGTGGCGCACCTCCTCCTCCTCGGCGGCGCGGCGAGACTCCTCGGCCTCGTACTCCTCGACTGCGCGCTTGAACCGGGAGACCATCCACTCCTGGACCTCGGAGGCAATGGTGAAGGTCGACGGCATGCCAAGGTTATCCTGGGCCTGCATGTGTGCGTGTGCGAGGGGGAGAGAGAGGGTTGCGTGCGCGTGTGCAGCATGGTGACCAAAGGCCACAAAGTGGTCAGAGAGCTGGGGGGAGGCGGGGGGACTGACAGACGGGGCGGGCGGGCGTGCGAGCGCACCAGCTGGTCGCAAAAGGCCTTCAGCTCCGCGACAATTTCGTCGGTCATGTTCTCGGTGTCGTCGATTTCGATGGTGGGCGCCTCGGAGTTCGGATAGTCCAAGCCCAGGGTGAAAAGCAGGGACAGCGAGACTGCCAGGCCGGACGCAAGAGCAACGAACGACGGTCAGACCCTGGCGGGGAGGGGTTCAGGCGGGGAGGCGGCATCGGGGGCAGGCGTACAAGGGTGGTGGATCCGGTCGATCGAGGGCTCGGAGTTCTTGTCCGCGAGGTTCAGCTTGAAGGACACCGGGTACTCGGTTGAGAGCTCTGAATGTGCGCCGGCCAGTTCGCGGTCAGTGACAGACTGATGCCAGGGGGGAGGGGGGGGGGAGGACCTTGGACGGGGCGCCGGCATTGGCAGGAAGAAACGCACCCTCGTACTCTTCGGTAAAGATGCACTGCAGGGCCTCGAGCTCCTGCTGCTGCATCTCAAGGGTCATGGGGTCTGTTGGGAGGGGGGGGGGGACGGGGAGAGAGAGAGAGAGAGAGAGGGAGAGTAGGTGAGCAGGACGTCAAGCACAGATAGCACAGCAACGGCAGCAGCAGCAGCAGCAGTAGTAGCAGCAGATGAGAAGGCCGAAAAGCGAGCGATGGCCTCGCACCGATCGACATGGCAAGTGGATGGTGGACCTCCGCGTGAGGGGGGGGGGGAGGGAGTGATCCGCGCGATGGGGAGGGGTGGCGAAGGGAAAAGAGAGCGAGGCACAAGAAGGGCGCGAAGCGGGGGAGAGGGGAGGGGGAGGAGAAGGAGCAGGATGCCGGGCCAGTCGCGGCCGGCCGTCTGGCGCTACCACCCCTTGAGGGGGTCACCGGCACGCACGGGCAGAGATGCGAACAGGCCGAGGGGGGGGGGGGCGCGCCGGCGCACGCGAGCCGGCAGGACGTGGGTAGGCAGCCGCACGCCCTTGCCAGGGGCCAAGGCGGCAACGCACGGCCCTGTTGCCAACGCACGCGCCACCCCCGGTCCACGAACCGGGGATCACGCTGTGCGATCATGCCTGCCGTTATTTTTTTGAATGCCTCCCTGAGGACGATCTGGCGGGCAGGGCTACGAGGAGTGGGGGAATCTCGCGGGGCAGGCGCGGGCGACCCGGCCGTGGGCGCGCAATCCCCGCGGCGGCGACCTCTCGCCAGGTCGTCCCGGCCCGGGGCCGGCCGCCGTCCAACCGTGCCATGGGGGCGTGGCCACAGGAGCTTCAAGTTGGACGAGGCGGCCCGGCGACCAAAGTCATACCCACCAATCCACTCTGTCCCTCTCCCCTCCCTCCCCTCTCTCCCTCCCTCTCTCTCTCACACACACACACACACGCGCGCGCACATTTCACTCCAAGGCGTTGCTCGTTTTGCCCACCTCCGCCACCCCACCCTTTGGCGCGCGCGCGCGCACACACACATACACCCCCCCCCCCCAGGCCCCTCCCCCCTCCAGGGCGCCGATGACCTCTGGCAATCCTCCCCCCTCGGGGCGTGCGCCAGCGCGCACGTCCGCTCGGGCCGCCGCCGCCAAGGACGACACCTTTGAACTGCTGCGCCAGGCGCGCGCGTCCGGCGCCACGGTTCCAACGGATCTCGCCCGGCGCGGCGGTCGCCTCGCGCGGCCCTCCCTTTCCGACGATGACGATGAGGACGGCGACGCCCAGGTGCAAGAGCAGGAGCTCGCGGCGTTGACATCCGGAGCGTCCGGGTCGAAGGCACCAGCTGCGCGCCGCCGGCGCCGCCCGGCCGGCAAGCCCGGCCCCGAGGACGACCTGGATTCCGAAGATGAGGATGACTTTGGTGACGAGGATGATGACGACTTCATCGAGGATGACGATGGCGAGGGCTACACCGGGAAGCGCCGGCGTTTGACCGGCGCCTCGGACTCGGCCAGCAAGGATGCCAAGGTGCGTGCGCATGGCGGCGCTCGCCGCAGGAGGCCCCGACAGCGCATGCCCGGCTTTCACGCTGCCCCCCTCCCCTCGCTCACGCACTCACTCACTCGCTCACCTGCCCTGTTGGCGTCGGGCTC